TATGAGTGTCGCTATGTCCCGAACCTCAATTAAGAATTTTTATCTAAAAATAACAAAGTGGTGCCAGTTTGACAAAAGTTTTAAAAAGTACTTTTTTGGGGGCTGTTAAAGTGGAACGACCCCATAGATAAAAAATTCTAAAATCTAGAATAAAATGATGGTATGTATCGCCTTTTGTCGATTATCGTGGTGCAAACTTCGTGCGTTGTAAGACGGGGGGGAAATTTATTCTAAACGCAATAATATATAAACTTACATTTATTAATAAGTTACTTTTGTCTCAATATAGTAAGTCAATCTTTCCGCAAATATTAACCTGGATAACGGAAATTCCCCAAAAAGCACATCCCCGAAAGAAAGATTACTTTGAAATAGCTGGGTTTAATACAAATATAAACTACACCACCAGAAAAAATTTCCAGATCCAATGCTATTACACTTCTATGTATCATAAAATAGGATCGATATAGCGCCAATCGTATTTATTATAGAGAAAGGAATATTTTAACCTTAAATGAAAAATTCTAAAATCTAGAATAAAATGATAATACGCATCGTTTTTTGTCGAATATTGTGGTACCAACTTGGCGCGTCGTAAGATGGGGGGGGGGGGGAAATTTGTTCTAAACACAAGAACATATAAACTTACACTTACATAAGTTATTCTTGTCTAAGTCAATCTTTTTTAATTCGATAGAGGAGAATAAGAATTAGTGATTTTACTTTGATATTGTCTTATTTTTATACTAAATGAGGTTGTGAGAAATATAAATGCGTCAAGAATATCTTTTGTCTCGGTAACAGAAATCCTTTCCGATGGTGCGGTATAACATGCATGTGTTACACCTCCCGAAATGAAAAAACCAACACTTCTTTCACTCCGATGTCTTTACTATTTCATATCTAGAAGGTTTTTGGTTTCCTAATTCTGAATCTGAAGTCGAAATTCTAAAATTATCGACGATTGACTCAACATAGCAGCTCAAAGTTAAAGTTTTAATTAAAAACTTTTGTTTTCTATTATAATATGAGATATATATATATATATATATTCTGTAGTAAAAAATTATTCCTATAAACGACATCTCGAAACTAGGTATCTGGGAGTTCTTGAGATCACTGATTTCTAATCTAAAGTCACAATTTGAAAATTTGAAAATGATGGCAGATTCATTGTAAAGAATCAAAATTGCAAAAAGTGCAGTCGGAGTTTATCTGGAACTCGGTGCTCGCAAGTTTTTCAGGTTGCTGATTACACACTAATTGCTTTGTATATACGCAACAATCTATAATACAATCGTAGGAGTATTTAAAATTCTTTCTTTCCAACAGTATTACAGTCTTATTTAAATACTATAATTGTCACTTCAAGAGTACATGTAATTATTTTGACAATAAGATCATTTTAATCTTTTTATTTAAATTAACCTTCGATTTGAAAAGATGTTATTTTCTATCCAATATTGTTTCCTTTCCATTCAAGAAAATTATTGTTAAATAACAGGGATATATTTTTCTCGATTGAATTATATAAAATGGCTTCACTCAAGTAAGCTTTTCTTCCTTTAACGCCATATAATCTCATTCCAAGAGTTTCGCGTTGAGACTGAATATATTTATTGTCAAAATAATTACATGTATTCTTGAAGTGCTAATTATACATAGTATATAAATAAGACTGTAATATTGAAATGTAAGATCATTAAATGCTCCTCAGAGACATATTTTCAAAAGAATATTTTTTGTTTCTGTTTCAAAGGGTTAAGCGAGCTTTTAGCGCGCGTTTACTAATGAGAAATCGCAAATTTAAGAACAAACGACGCGATAGTCCGATTGCGTTTTTCCACGCTCGCGGCTGTCCTGTAGAGCAAATTTGCACACGAAAGAAAATCGCGAGTACCAATAATCCGTCGTGTATCGCAATATCGGTTAGGGCCGACCGATACAACTTTAACTTGCGCGAGAGCTCGCTGTTTCACGAGAATCCCGATCGGCAAACACACACTACATCGTGCTACAGAATCAGAATTAATCGTGCGCGAGAGTACGCCAGAGAGTATACCCGACTCGTGTTATCCTTTCTAGCGTTTGATCTAACACTCGAGATCGACCGCGATTCGATATTAATTAGAGCGACAAGAGTCAAGTCGTCGATTAGCATATCGAGTGGGCGTCGTCCCCGGCCGGTCCGAGTCGAGACAAGGAGGGAAGACGCGGGCTTCCCCCCCCCCCGCCGGTTCTTTTTTTCTTTCTCTAGCGATTGGAAAGCAATTGGCAATAAACGACAGACGATGGGCGCGGCGGATAAAAAGCGAGCGATACGCGATCTTTAACGAAAAACCATTAATGAGCGGTGGCGGGGCGGTTTATAAATAGAGCACTGTCGCTAGATAAATTGAGTGTGGGTAGCGGGAGGAGCCAGGCGAGCGAACGAGCGAGAGCACGACAAGTCGGCCGACCCTCCCATGTTCCCGCCGCTAACGATTCTAAAGTTAGTCCTTATGGCGCGTACTATGTATAGCAGCGCGTGGTCCTATGACGAACTGGAAGAGCACACGATTCTCCACGTTTCTCCGTGCCTTCTACGGCCTACGGCCCGGCCGGGGCGGCCCGGGCCTGCGGCCGCGCTCGGTCACCTGATATTAATTAACGTCAGGTGCACGCCGGCCGAGTTTGGCCTCTTACGCGCGCTCCCGCGAACTCCCCGGCGATTTCGAGTTTTATCGTCGCGCGCGCAATCGCAGGGCGGACTCTAATACAGCAATCGTCGCGTACACTGAAAAAAATTTCTGGTTGAATATGGACGAATCAGATAATTCCTTTAGGATTTACCAGAATTTCTGTAGGATTACAGGAATTCTGGTAAATCCTAAAGGAATTATCTGATTCGTCCATATTCAACCAGAAATTTTTTTCAGTGTACGAGCTTGAAGCGGAATTGAACGTTAATTACGAGGATTTAGTAAGTCGACGGCCGGCCGATTAGGCGGTTACCTTATCCTGACTGACGTCCTGCAACGTGAAGGAGTGATCGTTCCGAGATGTCAGCAGGTCTAACGCTAACGTTCCATAAATCGGCGGCGTCACCAGGGTAAATGTGACGCCGGCTTCTTCCACGCCGTATTTGGCAATGTCCAGCACCATCGCGATGTTTTCGCTCGTTACCAACACGTGCTCCCCTTCGGAAACTAATAGAGGGCTCAGGGAGAGAATTTCCAGATTCACTGGCAGAGTGTTGTTCGAGTAGATCTGCAAAAGAGGCCACGGCAATTCTTTATTTTGCAAACATTTGTCTCATTTTACCGCAACCTCTGTGTAATATGTGTGTTTTTTTTTTACACAGACATTAGCAACGTTAAATATTAACACACGTATATTGCTCTCGTTAAGCTATTTATTATCTTAATTGATAGAGATTGAATACGCCTATATGTAAAGAGTAATCTATGTAGGCAATATCTTGACTACGTTAGCTATGCATCTCCGTAAATCCATACGCTAGTTGCCGGTGACATAATTAGCTGGCAACCGCAACGTAACCCTCGCCAAGTGGGTGGAGCGTCATTGAAACTCAATTAAAATTGATCTACCCTGTAGTCCTCGGCGTAATTCGGCTTGATGCACAGTGACTGGTCGCAGTTACACCTGAACGAGTTGACGCCCAGCTGCATACACGTCGCGCTAGATACGCAGGGCTCGGCCTCGATACACGGATATCCCCAGACGCAGCCTACGACGATACCCTGGCTGACCTTGACGTCCGGTAAACCGAGGCCCTTGCCGTCGAGGATCATGTTGCGTATGCAGCCCTTGTAGCTCACGTCGCCGGACCGGAGGCCCTTGCTCAGGGCCCGAGCGCGTTTATTCAACTCCGTGCCGCCAATGTACAGCGTATCGGCGAGATCGAGAAACCGATTGCCGCCGGACGGCAGAGCCATTGTTTTCTCCTGACGATCCACGGCGATGCCGAGGCCGCTCGGGTTGAAGTCCACAATTACGCTGTGCCATTTACCATCAGCCACCGGGGTGCCGTGCGTCAACTCGGTCGGGCCGTTCCCTTTGTTCATCAACAGTCGAATCTTGCCCTCGAACAGCTCGATGCCGAGGTAATCGGCGTAGGACGATTGCCCCGTGTTATACAGCAACAAGCCGCTGTCGGCGCCGGTCTTCAGCTCGAATTCCCATCTGCAAAGTCGTAAGATGGAATTGGCAGGAAACTTCGTTACTGCCCCTTAAGAAAGGACTGCGCAACCGAATCGGACTCGTCCGATGTTACGGTCGTTACACAACGACTTCACGAGGCCATGGAGAATACTCTTCTAGATAATGCCGCTGATACCTAAGCCGTTGGCGGCGAAAATAACGGAAAACTCGGACATTACCGTCCGTCTTGGCAATCGGATTAGAATTTCACGGTTGATTTTTTCGCGTGACTCACAAGCGATGCAACTAACACGGCAAATACAATTGCTACACAAACGAACGGGATAAACTTTCGCGAACGCGTCGATTTAACTGAGCCATCGGACATTTTGTTCCAAAACTGCGTAATCGTCTTTGAAAAAGCGAACCGAACTGTAACCAAATCTCGACAGGACACACAAAATTCTGTAGAATTTAATTTAATTCACGCTGCCTGAAAACTAGCGTTCTATTAAGTATTGTACCGACTACTGCGAAGAATATTATCACAGCCTCGGTGGTCGAGTTGGTTGAGACGCTCCTCACGGATTGTAATACTTTTCGCAGCAAGATTTCTTTACAGCATGGGGCAGGGGGTGCTGAATGCTAAATATAGCATCAATTTCAGTAGCTTCTTGTCGCCAGTGGTAATCAACCAAGGGGAATCTTTTTAAAAAGCGACCAAACTGGCAGAATTGACGTTTATTTTAGTCACGACGTTTCGACCCCTTTATCGGGTCCTTTCCAAGTACAATTTAAGTTTGCTAAACATCAGATTTTCGGATCTCCACAACGGCTGATCCGATGAACTTCTAAGTGCGCTCAATCGAAAGCTTGGGTTCGTTTTAACTTATGCCGAAACAGAATGGGTTCGTGAGTCTGTGGTCAGCAAATTCATAATATCATATATGTCTCGGTAGTCAGCGGATGCATAATGGCGATGTATAATGGCGATCAATTTCTAAAATTTCCAAGTAGCAACTGCGTACGTTTGCGCATCTCGAATAAAACTGACTCACCATTGTAAATCCACTGACTACCGAGGCATATAAAGGGTGAGGGAAAAGTACCGGACCGGTGAAGTATCTCGACAAATATAGGAGATACGGAAAAATGTTTCAGACAAAAATTGTACGGTTTTAAAAGGGCAATATAATGGTAAAATGAATTTTCGAAAAAAATAAATTTTTTATGGTTATATAGAGGTCGCCGTCATTTTTTTTAATGGAACTCCCTATTATTTATCATACTATTTT